GCTGTGGTCTATGTTACAAGAGGAAATGCTCGTTCTCAAATCGTTGGAGAGAACGGTAGCCTGGTGTTCGATGGCGAACTAAGTGAAGGTCAACTTCTGGTAGTGCCACAAAACTTCGCAGTGTTGACACAAGCTGTAAATGAAGAGTTCAGGTGGATCTCCTTCAAGACCAGTGACAATGCATGGAGAAGTGCGCTTGCTGGAAGGAACTCGATTATGCGGGCAATGCCAGAGGAGGTGTTGATGAACTCATATCAGATCTCAAGAGAAGAAGCAAGAAATTTGAAGTACGACCAAGAGCAGATGGAGGTGTTACGTCCAAGGTCACGGTCATGGGGTCTTGAGTCTTCAGCTTAGGTTGTCTGTTTTTTTGTTAGAGGAAAGAATCGGTTCAGTCGAGAAATTAAATAAAGTGAGAAATCAATAAACAACCTCTTGATAGACTTGGAAGGTTGACAATAATGCTTGTACGAGTTGTGTGAACATAGATGATGCTTTACACTCAAATACACAACCTTTTATTGATGTCATTTTGTTTTGTTCTCCAATTCGTGTTAATCCATGCCAGGCACTTAATTACCGGGTTTGTTTGCAGTACAATTTCATTTGTACCGGTTCAGGAATATGTGCAAATCCTGATGGTCATGTAAAGCAAGGCATGAAGCAAAGCAGAACACAAGTAAAAATGAAATAGAGAACATAAAGTAGAATACAATCTTAATCCAAGCCCAATGCGATGGCAGACGAAGCCAAGATAACAGAAGATTTGCAGCTCCTTCTCAACTTCATTTTGCGATCTCCATTCTGTGGTCAAGATTGTGTTCAACATCGGCAAAAACAATGGTGTTGAAGTTTCAATGGCGGAATAGGAGCGACTTTGGTTTTGGAAGAACAGATAGAAACTTCCATTTGACTGTTTTGACTCTCCTCTCGACCCACTTCAAGAATGTAAGCGGGTGGGTTGGATGGGTCAAAATGGGTCCAAATTTCAAGAATAATACTCAAACTCTATATAACATTACCCAACTGATTCATACAAAAGGTGTGAGAGTCCAAACTTGATGAATAACTCAGACTCTATATAACATTATCCAAACTTCAAGAATAACTCAAACTCTATATAACATTACCCAACTGATTCAAACTTTGACTAGGAATATAAGTTTGGTTTTTAAAAAAATGATGCTTGGCTGCTTGGCTCTTAGTGAAGATGTCGATCAACTGATCTTGATCTTCTGAAGCAATGTCACGAACACAAAGATTCTTTCAACTCTCTCACAAACAAATAACCTCGATAGTGGTGTCTGGTGTCTGCTAATTAGGACCAAGTTAAATTCAGACTCGAGCAAGCAATTCAGACTCGGTACTTCAGCAAGCAATGGTGCTCTGCTTAGAGGAGCTATAGGAAAGAAGATGAGGGTAAGGCCATGTTTGGGAGTGTTTAAAAATAAGTGTTTATACAATAATCATTTATTCAATTTTTTTCTTCCAAGATTATCCCTATTTGATTTTTAAAATACCACTTTTAAAACTATCCCTAGTTGAATTTTCTAAAAATATTTCCGTAAAAGTGTTTCTTAAAAGCACTTTTATGAAAGTACTTTCACAAAAATGCTTTTGTAAAGGTACTTCCATAAAAGTGCTTTTATAAAAGTACTTTCTCAAAAGTGCTTTTATAAGAGTGCTTTCATAAATGTGCTTTTATAAGAGTGATTTCGTAAAAATGCTTTTATAAAAGTACTTTTTAAAAATACTTCTAAGTGTTTTTGTGAAAGTACTTTTATAAAAGTGTTTTCATAAAAGTATTTTCACAAAAGTGCTTTCATAAAAGTACTTTTATAAAAGTGTTTTTATTAAAGTGATTTTGTAAAAGTACTTTTTATAAAAATGGATTCGTAAAATTTAAAAGAAAATGAAGGACAAAATAGTCACAAATGCTTATTAATTTAAGTGCTTATTGGAGAAAAAGGCTACCGGCCCAATATGAAATAAGTGTTTATTTTTTAAAATAAGCATTTGAAAAAATTGGGTGCCAAATACAAATAAGAGGGTATTCAAATAAACACTTATTTTTAACATAATCACTCCCAAACATGACCTAAGATAAATAACATAGCCTCCCATGGAGCAATGATCATAAGGGAAAACGATCCAATATAATCAGTATCAATGTATGTAATGAGAGAAGGAGCACAGATTGAAAAAATAAACCACAATCAATTGTGTGCTTGAGATAATGCACAATCCATTTGGCTGCAAGATAATGTTGGTCCATCGGTTTTTAGCATTGTTCACGGCATAAGAGATGAGATGTTAGGCCATGTAAGGATGATATAGTACAAATAGACCCCTGTTCATGGGCCGGGTGGCCCGACGGGCTTGAACACGCAAATGAGCTCGCGGGCTTAACCTTGGGCCAAAAATCCCGGCCCACAATAAATTCAAATCGGACTCGGGATTTGCCAAAATAACCCGGCTCGAGCCTGACTTGGCCCGCCCTATAGACTAAACTTAAAAAACCCTAACTCCCTAAGCCGAACCTCCTTTCTCTTTCACCTCTTTCCCCTTAGAGAAGCTAACCACCAGAAAATAACGAATATGTTACATCCCACAAGCAACAAGTCAATTAGTATACTGTTTGACAAAACCATCACCATGCCACTTTATTTTAAATATCCATTTTGAAGTAACTACATTCATGTTTGGTTTGGGGTACAAGAGACCATGTACCATTTCCCATGATAGCATTAAAACTCTAAGGACATGGTTCGATGTGATTCTCCGTTCTTTCCAATTGTAGGAAAAAGATGTACACTCGATTGAAGGATCGAAATGCTGGGAAAGAAGATCCTTTGGAAGTGGATAACGAGTAGCAAAATATGAGTGTGGAAGCTGATCCCACATCTGAGATCTAGGCTCCGTTTGGTGCATCTTTTTACGCGAGCTGTCAGCATTTTAGAAGCTTGGTGCAGTCCGCGTTTTGGTCTTTTCCCATTTGATTGGGAAAAGATCTAGCCACCAAAAGCCACAACCCCAAAATATGTAGGAAGTCCATTTCGGGAAACTTCAAATAGAGCTTTTTGCCTTTTTCCAACTCATCTTCACATGAAAAGACGTATGGATAGATGTGCCTTAACCAAACGGTCTTCATGCTTCTAAGGTCTTGATGCAAAAGGCCACATCATCTTTTGATTGTCAGAGCTTCCAAAAGATCTTTCAAAAAAGACTTGCCAAACAATTCCTAGTCACCATAGGGTGTACCTGACCTGACTCATTGGATGGTGTTGTAGTAAATATCACACGAGGACCATGAGTGGGTGCATCTGTAATAGAATGGCTCCTTAGAGGTAGAGATATGGACTTATCTGATTCATCAATAACAAGGATGGACGACGATGGAGAATGAGTGCTAGAAGCAGATGGTGATGACAAAACAGATGTCGATCGATGGTGGTCCTTGGGGAGAAATGGGCAATGTAAATAGAGAGTAATCTGGATTGGGAGAAGGAGAAGTAGAGAGGACTCTAAAGACAAAGATAGTTCAGAAAAAAGAAACAAAGAATCATTAAAAACAACATCCGAAGAAACATAAACCTTACTCATGGAATGTTGAAGATAGTGATACCCCTTATGTTGTGAGTCGTACCCAAGAAAGGCATGGGGTGGACCAAAAATCAAACTTATTTTTATTATAAGGACGAAAAAATGGATAACAAATAAACATAAAGGTCCTTAAAAAATTGTAATCAAAAGTAGGAAGCTAGTTAGTAAGAAAAAAAATAGTAGTGGAAAAGGGGCAAAGCCAGGGGTGACGGAGGGGAGCCATGCCCCCCCTCCCCTCATGCCTTGAAAATCCTCATAATAACTATTTAAATCCCACATATATTTTGCCCCTCCTACCGGTGTTTCCTAGCTTTTGGTCCCCTTATCCATGTTTATTAGGCTTTATCCTCCCTTAAGAAAAAAATCCTAATCCACCCCTCGTGAAAACTACCACTTTCAAAAAAATAACAGGCATGGAAGCATGTTTAAGAAGGGTGAGGACGCTTCAACTATGTGGTGATAATGTCTTTCAATGTAGCCATTTTGATATTGATATGTGGACAAGTAAACTGATGAGCAATGCCAAAGTGATCTAAGTAACCAACAAATGAGAGATATTCTCCATATCAATTTGAATGAACACTCATAATTTTGTAAGAAAACATATTTTCAACATGGAATTTGAAACACAAGAAACTATCATTGGCATCTTACTTAGAAACAAGAGGAAATGCCCATGAGATTAGTGAAATCATTAACAAAATGAATATAATAACCATAGCCATTATGAAAATTAATAGGTAACATGGGTTGGTCCCCATACATTAGTATATATAAGTTCCAAATGAGAGGATGGCTGAGACTCAGACTTCTAAAAGATAGCCAATGACTCTTTCTAGTTTGACAGGCCAAATGCATAGTACTAGTAGAGGAATAGAAATAAGTAGGCAAACCAAATTGAGGCACAACCTTATGGACGTTATGAAGTGAGGGATGATCCAAATGCACATGTCAACCATCAACAATAGTTCTTTCACCCAAAAAAAAGTTGAAGGAAAGAGAGTTGAAAGTTGGTATAGCCCGTGTTTATTGGATCTTTGCAAAAGAGCCTTCTCCATGGACTAACCCTTCACAACAAAAATGTTAGGGTGAAATTCAAAATAAGTATCATTGTCTTTCAATGCATCACAACTCCCCACCCTCATCCTTTGTCCCTTTTTCATTGTGAAGCTTTGTCTAAGGAACATGAGCCATTGACACAACTATAAATTTCAATTTCAATTACATAAGTGCACCTCTCTTTTAAATACAATCTATTAGGGCTATAGAGTCAAGTTTGTCATATTTTTAAAATTATATCTAATGACCAATGCAACCAGCCAACCACTCTACCAACCTTGAGAAAAGCACTAAGGTTCGGAACCCAAAGCCCTTCTTCTTCCTCCTCCTCCTTCTCCTCCCCCCTTCCTCATTTCCAAATGCATTGGTCTCACTTATTTTGCTCACTTCTTCTCAAGTTTCTTCTTTAAACTCTGATGGTTTCGCACTAAAAGCATCTATTTCAGCGAACCCAACTCAGACACTTTGTACCTTATACGGATCTGATCACACCCATGCAATTAAATTGGTATTTCCTGCAACAGTGTAACCATGGATGAGTAACTAACAAGATGTTCATCCATGGTAGAAATCTATTGCCTGAAATGGTGCAACCATGATAGAAAGTTACTCAGTCAAGTGACCAAAATCTATCGCATAAGACGCTGTAACCATGGTAGAAATCTACCTCCCCAATAGGGTGCTAATCCATCTTA